CTCAAAGCTACAATCATGAGTCTGACCAAACTGCGGGAGGCAGTGGAAGACAGGAGTGCCTGGTCCATGGGGTCACGAAGAGTCAGACACGACTAAACAACTAAACAACATTACGTGGTGAAGGAAAAATGAGCTGAGCAATTTGGGCCATTCCCTCCCCACAGGTGCCGTAGTCCCTCCCTTCCTCCTCTTGGTCCGTGCTCTGCATTCTGTGTGGACTCCAAAGGCCAAGGTAACGAATTAGGACCTGAAGGAGAGGGAGCTGGCAGGCTGAATGGGTGGGAGCGGAAATGTTGCTTCATTTTGAGAAGCAGCAGAACTCAGGGTACCGAAGAAGCACCCTATACTGTACAGGGAATATTTAAAAAGGACTGGCATCTTCTTTTGGTATTTGGAATACTAGGCTCATAGGGGGAAATCTGAAAGACATGAGCAAACCAGTGATGTAACCATTAGCAGCCAATATTTCCCTCTCTTCCAGATTTCCTTCTGGGACTTGCTTCTCAAGGAACAGGGGAATCGACAGTCAGGAAGGAAAACTGACATCAAAGGGAGCGGGAAAGGGCAACATCAACTCAGAGGGTTCTCATTCAGTGGGTGCTGCCATCTGCATCTGGTAATCTTCAGACAAGACCACCACTCGAGGGGCCTTGGGCTAATAACGGGGATTCTCCTCTAGCTCACAGCCTCTTCCTCTTCCTCCCATCACCGCAAGGTCTGCATCAAACTGGCATTTGCAGTGGCTGACACAAGCTGCCTGTGTTTTCTTATTTTTGTTATTTTTGAGAGGATATTTTAGCGCTGAACGCATTCCCTCCTGTTGCCATGGCAGCCGTGACAGGGGTTATATACCGTGAGAAAAATACCAAAATTAATGAGTGAGTGAAAGTGCAGCAGAGAGAAAAACAAGGTTAAAGAAAGAGTTAAAACAGTAATAAAAACAACCTCTTGATAATTTGGCAGCATGTATCCTACAGGCAAGAGGAAAGAGAGAGAGAGAAAGCTTTCCAGGGAAGAGCATACATCATGGCCTCCATGAAAAGCCCAGTGCGACAGGAATCACACCTACACAAGTACACCTTCCTGGTGCCACTCCAATATGTGAGTGATGCTGCAAAAAACAGAAACAAACAAACAAAAAACCCACCACCCCAAATCAATGCCAAACCTTCTCTCCTGACAACCCCAGCCCAAGGTTTCACAGTGTCTGGCACCCTTCTGACTATAACCTGGACTCAGGATGATGCCACACCCCAAATCCATGTGAATATCATACAAGAATATCAGCACATACATTCTGAGGACCCCAAACTGGCACACTTCCTGCCTATACTTGCCGATCAGCATGACAACTCTGAGATTGTCATCACAATCAACACCCAGGAATTAGCACTGTGTCTTTGAACCACCACCACCACATTGTCTATTTCATGTCTATTCCCCACCCCCCCTTAGTGTGAGCTGGTGCCCCCTCCCCAAACAGTGGTTCCTTTCTGCCCACCCATTTGGTACTGCAAATTCTTAAAAGCAGCCCAGGCGGTCCTCATATCAGCAGAACATCTTCCCAAGTGTGCCCTAGATACTATTGGCTTGAAAAATCAACATTGCACTCAGATCTAGCATGGTGCCCAGGCTGCCACACAGAGACACCCATCTTTGTTTCGCCTTGTATTTGTTTGCAGGAGCAATACTGTATGGGGGAAGAGGGAAAAAGCCTAGAGTCTTTCATGTTGCTCATTTCCTCATGTTTGTTTTTCAGTGCCTTTTGTTTTTAATTGTAGGAAGGAGAGAATTGTCAGAACATCTGTGCTATTAGCATTAGCTGCCCGAATCCTCTCCCTCCCCCCTCCTGTGTAGCCCAGAGCTGATGAGAGAACAGAGGAGCCTTTGAAACGGCTCACAGCAACCAGCAGCCAGGTTTGCAGCATTTGTGTTGGGGGAGAGTATTTATTCTCATGTAAGGTTCATTTGCTCTCCTGTATTTCCCCTCTTCTGGAGATTTATCTGGCTACTCTCCCGTCACAGACTTTGTTTTCCTGACAAGGCCCCGTGGCACCACACTGCAGCTGTCTCTGTGCAATGTGCCACAGCAAGGTAGGGCTGATGGACTCTTCTGCGCCATGCTGGGCTCCCCGGTGTCCTCCGGAAGGGGCAGCATCAAAACCTGCGGGTGGCTGAGGGAGAGAAGCCAGTGCTGAGAGCCGCTCTTCTTCTGAGGATCACCCACGCTTTCACGAAGATTCGCTTCCTCCCCTTGAACACAGTAGGAACCAGGCTGAAGGACATGGGCAGGGCCTTTCAGTCATAAGCAGCTGTACCCACAAGGCGCAGGCGAGGAGCTGCCTCAGGTGGCAAATGCAGAGGATCATGCCACTCAAGGACTGCGGTGAGAAATAAACAAAAGCAGCCCTCTGAACACCACCCACCAGGAAATTAATGGGAGTTAATTAATGGGAGAGATTTCAAAGGAGGGACATTCAAGTGACAACCTCCCTGACTCTTGTGTGAGTTAAGAGGAGGGACGTTGCTACTTCAATTTCTCTCCTCATAAATCTGTCTTAGGGTAACATTCAGTTCTCTTTTAAGAACTGGAAACACCTGAAGGAAGAGGAACAGGAAGTGTACTGTACTTCTGGGAAGACCATGTAGCTGAATATGATCTCAACCCATCAACATCCTTGATGCTCCAGCAAGCTTTTGAAAGCAGACAGAAAATAAAAGGAAAAAGGTAACTTTTTAATACCAGCTTCATGCTTCCTAGTCTTAACACCCAACTAGAATAACCCTTCCCCAGTCTCTAACGCAGGTGCGGCCTCACACCAGTTACCTGGGTATCTTATGCAAACAAAGTCTTGCAGGCCTACCTACAAAGTAAACAGAGCAAAGTCCGTTGAGACTGGGCTGGGCAATAGGCACATTACCTTAGCCAGATTTGTAGCTACAATGGGAACATGCAAACGCCATCCTAATTGGGGTCAGAGTTCACTACTGGGTGAAGATCAAACTTAAAAGCTAGAAGTGGCCAGTTCCACTGCAGTGCGTTGCTTTTCCAAACATCAGCATCGAGTGATGTACTAGGGAAAAGCAAACTTCAAGCCTTGGATATGATTTAATTTAAGATGAAATGAAACAAAAGTGGGGGGGGGATAAACATAGCTCCAGAGCAGTGGGCAGTAGCAGAAAAGCCTGGAGCAAGCAAGGAGTGGAGGATTAGCCTGGAGAGATGAGTAGGAGCAAAGAGGAGCAGCAGGAATCCTTAAGAGACTCTCCTTTTTTGGGGGGGGGAGTCTTTTGATAAGAAATTCACATTCCTCACAAGACCCTTCTCTCCCAGGAAGATGCAGAGATACTCTCTCTTTCTCTTTTTTACACACACACACACACACACACACACACACACACAGCCCAAGGACTCAAATTCACATAAAGCCCGTCATTCCATTGAAAGACAAAGCAGCCTCTAGATGGTGCAGTGGGTTATGGAAGGCGAATGGAGCATGTATGGGAAGAAGGAACGCGGGGGCTGCGCTGCGCAACAGGTTCATAGAGCTGAGCAGCATGTAAAAAATCTGGAGCTGCAGGAAAGAAGCAACACGTGTTTTTAACAGGTTGGCTCTGCCCATAATCTACTCCTAACGATGCTAGAGAGTACCCCGTGCGGACTAGGGAGCTCGCCAGCAGGGCAGCCCGGCAGCCCCCCACCCCGGTAGGGCTCCGCAAGGCGCCTGCTGAGTTGCCTGACGTGGCCGGCCTGCAGGGGCCCAAGAGCCAGGAATCTGTGGAGCCTGGCAGCTTGGCACCGGGAGCGCCAGGCTGAATGTTAACGAGCGCTCAGTCCTTGGCAAAGGACCAGAATCCAGCTTGGAAATCCGGACCCCTGGCAGAGCAGGGCCCGCGCCGCTTAAAGGGGCAGAGGAGCCGGCGCTCGGCAGCCGCTTCCCCGCGCGTGAGTCCCCGCCGTTTTCTCGGCCGCCCTGGATGCCGGGGCAGCTGGCAACCATCTTGGCCTCGCCAGCCCGGAGTTCTCCCTGGAAGCCCCTCGCCCGCCCGCCCCAAAGGGCCTGCTCGGAAGCGGCTCTCCGGAGACGGATCCCGAGGGCAGCTCCGCCGCGCGATCCCCGAGGGGCAGCGGCATGGCCCTGGCCAGCCCCCTCGGGGTTGCTGCAGTGGCGGCGAGGGGGAAGGGCGGGCGGCTGGGCAGGTGCGCAGTCCCGGCTCGCTCCCTCCTCCCCCGGCAGGTGCAGCCGGCGACGCGCGGGTGACTCACCGGAACCGGCCGCGAGGACAGCGGGGGAGGAGGAGGAGGAGGAGGGGAGGGCGGCAGGGCTGGCGGGGGCAAGGTCAGCGGGAGTCACGCGGGGAGAGCGAACGGCGGGCAGGCGGCGCGGCGCTCCAAGCGGCTCCGGCCAGCAGGGCAGGCAGGCAGGCAGGCGGGCGCGCAGGCCTCGTCGGCGCCTCGTGGGGAGCAGGCCTCGCGCGCCCCTAGTGGCCGTGGCCGCCGCCGCCGCGAGTGGGACGCCTCCTGCTGCCGGGCGCCAGCGCGCGACCTCGCGGCTGCAGCGACGGGCTGCAAATCCGCGGGGCGGGCGGGCATCTCGCCGCGAATTCCCCGGGCAGCGCGGGGCTGCCCATCGCTTCCCCCCAAGCAGGCAAGTCAGTGGCCGAGGAGCCGGGCGGCGCGCGGGTCGCGATGATGCTCCCGGAGGCGCTCGGGGAGGAGGGCTTGTCCCCTTCCTGGGAGGCGAGCGAGCGAGCGCGCGGCTGGGCCGGCTGGGCTAAGGCACGCGAGGCTGGCTGGGTCGCTGGCGCTGCGGCCACCTCCGCGCGGAGCTTGGCTTGGGCACCGGCTCTGCCAAGGCGCCGGAGCTCCGCCTCCCTCTCCCCGGGCAGCGAGGACGACGACGGCGAGGAGGAGGAGGCCAGCCGGGAGGGAGCGAGCGCGGAGAGGGAGGCGGCGGCGGCGCGCGCGCGCGCGAGGAGCGGGGGGGGGCGGCGATGCAATCCCTGGGCTGCGCTTCCCCTGCACTTCCTCCTCACACACACCGAGAGAGCAGCTCCGGCTCGGACACAGCCCGGCTCGGCGCGCGCCCCGGCAGCAGCGGCTGCTTGGCTGGGCTCGTGGCGCGGGCGAGCGGGGCAGGCGGGCGGGCTTCCTTCGGGTGGAAGGGACTGAACGGAGCGGCGCGGATTTGGAGCGGAGCGCGACGGCGCGGGGGGCTCGGAGAGCCCGGCTGCTGGCGGATTTGCTGCGGAGAGCAGCGGGCAGGCGGCGGGAGGCGAAGATGCCCGGCGAGGAGCGGCGAGCGAGGAGGAAGCCCCGGGCGCCGCGAAGTAAGGGAGCGCGGAGGACGGGCGGGCAGCCGGGAAGCGGCCAGGGCGGACCCCGCGGCGGAGGACCGCGCTCGGCTCGCGGCTGTGTCGGAATGCGGGCGCCGGGCTGGAGGGAAGCGAGCGAGGCAGGCGCCCGCTCGAGGCTGCGGGTGGCGGGAGCAGAGGCGGGCGAGCAGCCGCGCAGCTCCCCGAAGACGGACGGGCGAGGGGTGGGTGGAGGGGCGAGGATGGGGATACTTGGTAGGCAGCTTGTGGGGGTCAAGTTTTTGCTCCAGCCGGCAGGCGACTCGCCTGCGGTCCTGCGCCGGGTCCTTCTTCCTCTCGCCGCATCCAGCTGCTTCCCCCCCCCCCCGCGAGCTGCGGCGCCTCCGTTGCTGCTCTCCCTCCCGGAGCCAATTCGATTCATTCTCTCCCCCCGCGCCCCTCCTTTTCTGCACCCTATTTTTCATGGATCGGGGTCTCAATGAATCTTTTCCAATCTGCGGAGACGGGAGCGCCCCCGAAATCGGAAGCAGTTCCCGGGGGGGGCAGTGAGGGCTCCGCGCACATTGCTACCCCCCTCCCGTGACAGGCGAGAAGCAGCTGGGGGGACGACGACAGGGAGGCGTTTGTGGGCGACGCCTCGCTTCCCCCCCGATGGCTGCACCCCGATGCGCTGTGTGCGCCCCCTCCCGGATCAGAAAGGGGGGCAAGTAGTCGGGCTCCTGCCAGGACATAAGCACCCTCGCCTCCTGCCACTTGTTGGGTGCTGGGAGGGGGAGAACTTCATTTCGCTCGTGTGCCCCCCCCCCCGCGCCCCGACGCCTGCCCCTGCCCCGGAATGCCCTGCCTGTGTGCTGGCTCCGGGGACGTGGCATCCCTGCAAGCGCCTTTTCGGACTGCGCGTGTTTTGCTGGTGCGGCGGGGGGGGGGGCGGGCGGGCGAGGCTGGCAGCTGCCCTGGCTGGCGCTCGTGCTTCGCTCCTGCGCGCGGATGGCCGAGGCGGCAAGCGCGCCTCCTCTTCCCCGGGTGAAAAGTGCGTTGCATTCTCGCCCTTGCCAGGTTCTCCCCCGCGCGCTCTCTCCGGGGCATTGCTGCTCCGGGGTTGGGGTCTCGAGGAGCGCCTGCACGGGAAAGGGTGCTGCCGCGCAGCGGGTTCGGGTGTAGATGCGCCTCCTTCGGAGAGAGACCCCGAGGAGTGCTTGGAGAAGGAGAAGAAGGCAGCCCAAGGGAAGGCTGGGGAATACGCACGAAAGAGGAGGGAGGCGAGTGGGTGCGTGTGCATGCAAGAGCGGACAGGTCTGATGTGAACTTCAGGTGTTGGGCATGTAAAGGAAGTGGGCACGCATGGCTGGTGGAGACCCGGGTTTCAGCGCTGGCGTGCGCTTTTGGTGAGAACTCGCGTCCGTAGCATGTCGTCGGTGAATTGGGGTGTGTGTGTGTGTGTGTGCAGATGAAGTATGATGGGTGGAAGAGGGGGAGACGTGGAAGGTGCACAGAAAAGAGGCGCCCCTGGGTATCCCGGGGGGTGAGGCAGGCTGGAAGGATGTGGCGGTGGCGGTGCATGTACCTTCCTATGGAGGAGGGGCATGTGATGCGTGTGTATCCTATGAGGTTGTTCCTAGGAGTGAGGGATGTGTTAGGTGCGCCCTGCGAGAGGGGCTGTATGGATTTGATTGTGCAAAAAGCCATTTACTGTATTGTTGCCGGATTACTTGTTGCCATTCGCTCTTAACCCGACCTCTTTGAGGGGCTGGAAGGGTGGGGTGAGGCGGAGTCCCCTTTACAGCTAGTTATATGCAGCCTTGTATGCAGATGCTAACTATGAATCATGCTCTATTTTCCTCTTCCCGTTTGTGGTTACTGTAAGTTTCTAGTCCAGCATCTGGGGACCTCTCATTTTCCCAGCGCTAGTACTGAATGTTTCTTATGTGTTACCCAACCAATGATTATTTCTTATATAAAAAAAAACTGCAGCAACATCCAAGCATTCTTTCCAACACAATATTTGAGACCAGAGAATAAGTTTGTGCCTTTTATCTGTCATCGTTACGTGAATTAGGTAGCTGCTGTTTTAAGGGTTTTGTATCGTTGTGCACAGCACAATCTGATTTCGACCCCAAGCCCTAATTCTGATTTGTGTTTCCTGGTGTTCCTGAGTGTGTGTTCTGCTGGCTGGAGAGCTTTTATTCTGGGATGTTTCCTGTGCACAGTGTTTTCAGTGTATGGCTTTCATCCTATAGCATCTTCTAGTAAGGTAGAGGGGTTTGATATTTTGATAGGGAAGTTATGAGTTAACTGCCATTGCCAGCTGCTGGTGACCCCAAGGCTTCTAAAGAAATCTTTATTGCTTTCTGAGTTGCCTTAAGGCAGATCTGTTATCTATGTGTTTCCCAGAATCAAATGCTACAAAAGACCACCACCACTGTATCCCTATAGGCAGAACGTGCTTCCAAATAGGAGCCAGGAGGCCTAAGCCCTGCTGAATGTGCTAATGTGTTTACACTTAAATGAGTTGGAGAATGGTCTTGCTAAGCCAGTTGTAAGAGGAAGGGAAAATTGGTCTAACAAAGCCAGGTGTAGATAACAGGTGCTTTCATTGGGGATTTGAAAGCATCTCAGCCAGCATAGGCCTTTGGCCAAAAGTCTGGGTTGCAACAAATCAGTGAAACCTACAGGGCAAAAGACTAGGTCATGGATCATGGGCCAAAGCCATACTCCTCAGCCCCAGCCAACATGGCCATGCTTAGGGATGGGAGTGGTCTTCCAGAATACCTGGCGTTGGTGGCCAACACCCTGTTGGCGGCCTCTGGACTCAGAGCTGGATTAAGACATGCTGAGGCCCTAAGCTATGGCAGCTTCAAGAGGCCCCTGAGCGTTACCCAGGCTGTATTATTCTAACAAGAAGGACAATGAAAATAGAAATAATGAACTATTGTATTTGTATACATGCCGATGCATAGGCTAGGATGCAACTAAAAACTTAACAATCTTGCACGTCTTGCAATCAGCCTGCTTGCTTATGAAAATACCATACGCTTTCTTAGCATATATTAAAAGAATATTCTTGTTATTTCTGAATAGATATATAGACACAACATGACAAATTATTGTGTAGCCGTTGAGTATATTTCATCATATCAGAATGAGTTTGTTTTCCTATTTCCTTCATTAACCAATTATGCAAAACTCCAAATTTAGGTTAGTTTAGTTTGTTAGAGGCCTCTCATAATCTGAGGCCCCAAGCTGCAGTTTATTTTGCTTGTGCACAAATCCAGCACTGACTAGACTAGGCAAGCAGCTCGACAAGGTTAAAGCTCTGACCCTGACTCTGGCCTAGAAGCGTTGCAGAAGGAGCCTAACGAAGTGGTGGAGCTGGATTTGTTAGGCAAGAGCATGAGCTGTGGCTTGTTCTGTTTTGTTTTGTTTTCTTCTCCTGGGTGAACTGTGACTTCTCTAAGATCACACAAATATCATAAGAAATGCACTATTGTGAGACGACGAATAGTCGATGTGTTGAAGGTTGGCGTTGAGCTGGTGTGCGTTGAGCATCATTCTGCAGGAATGCTGCGAAGGCTTAAGCTCATAATGCACATGCGTGCTCATATTGTACGGGGACATGGATAGAGAGGAATGTATGGATGTGCTTGTTTCTACTGGGTATGCACATGTATGAAGTAATCAACAATGAATTTCTCAAGCGCAAATGCGGTGCAGAATCCGTGGGCAAGAGGCTGTGGCAACTCACACTGCAGCCTTGACCATTCGTTAGCCAGGTGTGGCTCAACATATGGTGCTTGAGGTGGAAATGCAAAATGGTGACTTTATTTTAGTAATTAAGCGTGGTTACAATCCACTGGCAAGTTCCTTCGGGAACTTCTCAATGCCCAGAGTCAGCTATCTTCCTTTGCCTGCATCTGGTCAGATTGCGCAGGTAATTACGTTAGGAAATGCAATTATTTCATTTTTATCCCATGAAGTCCTAATGCGATGGACTTTAAGGAAGGCTTGGCTATCCTATTTCCACATCTCTGCTGTTGCTAGGCTCTGAATTGAATTGGCAGTAGTATGAGTTCCTTTTTCTGCTCCCTATTGCAGGCCTACCATGTTGGCTGCATCATTAGATGACTGAAATGCAGTTCAGGAATTGCTCGTCTGTCTGCTTTCTTGGGTTTTGTTAAATGTTTAGAAGCAGAGCTCTTCGTTTTAACAGGGTTCCTTCCATTGCATTGGCCTATACTGGGTACTAAGTACAAAGTATTTCTGGGTGATACATGTCGCAAAATGTTGCCCTGTATGGTAGCATGCCTCCTTCCACTTCATTCTCTCGCAAATCCCTCCCACGTTTTGGCTTTCTCTCATTTCCTCGCTGGCACCACTGCCCCCTCCCTTTTTACTGCCCATCATAATCTCTATAGTTTACAGACAACCACCCCATCCTATCTGAGGGGCAGAGTCCATACCTTTCACTACAAGGTGGATTGAAATCAAACATCCGCAGCAATAAAGATCTAATAGTAGGGCCTGCTTCAAAGTTTATCCTGGGCGGGGAGGGGGGCAAGGTTGGCTTCCATATAAAGGAGGTCCAGTTCCATTGCAGCTATAACCCCCACCCCCTCCCAATATGCAGGGCTATCTCTGCGCTGTATTTATTTTGACTGTTGTTTCTAAGGGCATTTGCTTTGCTCTATTCTGGTTTCTGTTCTGCTTTTTTAATTGGTTTTGTGTATTTTATTCTGATTTTTAATTGGCTTTGTGCATTTTCGTGATTCTTTAAAAAAGAAAAGAAATGCTTTGTTGAATTCAATTCTTCCCCAAATGTATGTATACCAACTAGTTGCCATAATAGCATTTTTTAAAATTGCCTAGTGCCTTCGGTGCCTTATTTCTGGAAAATTCTGAACAGTTCTTCAGAAACATGCATAGGACCAGACTGTAAGCCCTATTTTGTTCAGTGGGACTTCTTTCCAAATAGTTGTCCATAAAACCACAGCCTTAATCTCCACATACATGATCTTACT